GGGGGGGGGGGGGGGGGGGGGGGGGGGAAGAAGAAGGTACTCGAAATGGACCCATTTTCCAGGATTATCGTTCCCCATGTAACCAAAATTAGTTAACGTTCACTTCATTTCATATCCATCCATTCCCCAAACCTCAGAAAAAATAGGAACACAGAAACACAACACACAACAAAACCAAATCCCTCTAATTTTCAATCTTTTTTTTTTTAAATAAATAAATAAATGAATAAATGAATAAATAAATAAATAAAAAAAAAGCAAGCAACAAAATTCGCTTTCCCCCATCCCCGCCGCACCCGCACCCGCACCCGCGCTCTCAGTACCCTCCATTCTCCAACAATTTCTTAACATTAACCCTCAGATGAGCCCCATCACTCACCACAACCACCCCCACCACCACCACCAACTCTCCAAACCCACCGCCTCAACCCTTGCCTCCGCCACCACTCAAGCCTGCGCTGCCTGCAAGTACCAACGCCGTAAGTGCGCTCCCGATTGCATCCTCGCCCCCTATTTCCCTCACGATCGCCAACGCCAATTCCTCAACGCTCATAAACTCTTCGGCGTTAGCAACATCACCAAAATCATTAAAAACCTCGATCCATTCGAGAAAGAAGAGGCAATGCGCACCATTATTTTCCAATCCGATGTCCGATCCATGGATCCCGTTGGTGGCTGCTATCGCATCATTCGCGACCTCCAACTCCAGATCGAATACATCAAAACTGAGCTCGATTTCGTTCTCAGTCAATTGGCGCTTTGTAAGCAGCAGGCCGCCGCCGCTGCCGCCGTCGCCATTCTCGAGGCGGATCCGATGAGTGGATACGGCGGACTTGAGCATCAATTTGTGGAGGGATATGGAGGGGAAGGGTTTGTAGTCGGGGAAAATGAGAATCGGGAGACTCTGGAAGATCAAGAAGTCGAGGTTTGGGGAATTCAAGATTCGTGTTCTTCCCTGCAATTGAAACCGGCCGGCTCTGTTCAAGATTTCCATGATATCAAGATCGATACCAATAATACTAATCACCATCATCACCATCAACAACAACAACAACAACAACAACATCTTCTTAGGTTTCAACAGGATCATCATGATCAGGATCTGGTTCATCAGAGGTCAGTATTGTATTGCACCAATATTACAATTTTTAATTTACACATTCATACAATTATAATGCATCTCTGTTCTGTGTAGCTTACTGTTTTGGTTTCTATAGTTTTACTGTCCCAAAATATATTTATTTATTTTTTTTGAAAATGAATTTCTTCATCGCGATTATCATTGTTTTACCTCTTCAATCCTCCAAGCATTTCAAATTTTTTATGTATTTGGCGCCAACCTTGTTCATATATTTTCTTCCTAATAATGTATACCGTACTCTTCTTATATTGAAGCTCGGCCCAAAAGGATAATCCAAGAAGCCCTTTTATTTCTTAGATGGGCCCTAGCCCAATGGACCAAGGACTCCAATGATAGTTCCTATGGGACAAGCTTCGGGCAATTTTTGTTTTGGCTAAATTGAAAAAGAAAAAAATTCTAAATTTGTATTTGGTTTAAAAAATGCCCTTATTGTTTTAAATTACAAAATTACCCTTGAAAGTGTATAAATATTTCAAACTACCTATAAATTCATTAGAAATTGTGACATGCAAACAAGTATGGTCTTAAGAAGCAAAAATTCAAATTTTAGGTTTTGTTATAATTTCTTTAGAAATTGAGATCATGAAAAGAAATAAGTCTCAATTTTTGCCTTCATATCATTGAGAAATAGGAACTCGTGTGGGATCCATGTTATTAAGGGATTTCCTATTATTATATCTCATGTATAGTATTATCATCGTGTAGTTTGGTATCTTATTAAACAAAACTGACAATCTACTGGTCGAGAATTTCAATTTTTGGTCCAAAAGAGTTTCAAAATTTTTGGGTTTGAAGAGCTGATAATTGGGTTTCTATAGTTTTTTGGATTTCATTATACTTCCAACAGAGAATTTGAGTGTTTGACTGATTTGATCTGTGCAGTGAAGAAGCTATGCTGAAGATGGACAATGTGATGTTAAAAGAGTCTGACCCAATACAACAGGCTCAAGATCAAGAGCTTAAAGGTGCAGTTGACACTTTATTTACCTTCCCAACTTGTGATCCTTAGCTTCAACCCAATCTTGTCTCCTTCCTTCCCTCATTATAGTTTTCTTTTTTCTTTTTCTTTCTTTTTTGCTTATTTAGTCCATAAATGCCTCTGGAGAAGAAATTATGGTTTGAGTGTCTATAAAAGAATTGAATAAATTACACCATTCTCTACTTCTATCTTCTCCCCATATTCATTTCTGGTATTTTAGAAGACCAACATCATTATTACAATTCATTAATCTTTCATACTTTCACATGAAATAATTCTTCATGTTGCCTTATGATTTCCATTTGCTTTTTCTAATAACCTCTTAACGTTGTCGGGGTTTATGCAGCTACTCATTTTTTTTTTTTGAGGTTAGAGATTCAAACCTCATTTTTTTTTTTAGGTTAAAGATTCAAGACTCAAAACTAGTAAAGAAAGGTAAAACCTCTGACTTAGTTGTACTCGTAAATGGTCAAATCAGAATCGTTCACAACCACAAGAATTCTGTAGATGAATATTGGTTCATCCAGGCCTTGACTACTTCATTTTCCCTGTATAATATAATCAACCCATCACGTCAGTCTTCCTAATTAATTACCAATGAAAATTGAGACATGTAATGGAATCAAATTTGAATTAATTCCCCTAGTAGCCCATATCATCCATTGCTGGCATTCTACTTGGAAGCTTGTTCTTATCATTTGGATCTTCCACTATAGCTGCCTCGGCTGTTGTCAACAGCATTGAGATGCTGAAAATTCAAGAAAATCAAAACATTCAAATAGTGCGCTTAGAAGTGGATAAAACATTTGGTAGTTTGTTTTCTGGTGCAAGGTTTAAAAGGACTTCCTAGAGAATGAAATAAACTATGTTCGGCAACTTTTGACAAAGGGCATGGGATGAAATATTCACCTAGCAGCATCCACTAAAGCAGTTCTCACAACTTTCAGAGGATCTACAATTCCAGCCTTCACCATGTCAACATATACACCTATTTTGCACAAACACTTCCCACTTAAGTAGCTGTAAAACCAATGTTTAGAGCAAAAACGATATCTAGTAATGTATTGCATAAAAGTGAAGTTCAAAATTTTCCAAGTGCCGAAAGTAGCCAACCTTTGGCAGCATCATAACCCAAGTTACGATCATCCTGTTCGAGTAATTTTCCAAGAACCAAAGCTCCATCATATCCAGCATTTGAGACTATTGTAAATGTAGGTGCCTGAAGAAAACCAAATCTTTGATTTAAGAAAACAAGATGTCAAGATGGGACCCAAAAAGTAGTGCTGAAAACTCAAAAGAAACAAACAAACCCTGAGAGCGTGTTGCACTATTTCTATTCCTCTTTTCTGGTCTGCATTTTGAGCTTGGAGATCATCCAGAACCTTCGTAGCATGCAAAAGGGCAACTCCACCACCTAATGATAGTGATTATCCACCAACTGCCCAGAAATACTTTCAACAATATGTTGTCCAGTTTAAAAAAGGTTTACCTGGCACAATTCCTTCCTCCACAGCAGCTCTTGTGGCATTCACGGCATCTGTGACTCTGTCTTTCCTCTCCCCAACTTCTGCCTCGCTTACCCCACCTACCTGCAAGAGAGCTGCATTGTTTATGAAGGCATACAAAATTCTTTCAGAACATTATAAAGGCAAACACTCTACCTTGAAGACTGCTACACCACCAGAGAGTTTTGACAATCTTTCCTGAGCTTTTTCCTTGTCAAACATTGCAGTACTCCTGTCAATGGTTGTCCTCAACTGCAAAGCAATCAGTATACAGTATTTAATAGGAATTCATAAAATAGGTGCTACACTTTTATACATGTTCCCATGGTCTCTAAGAAGACTCCAACTTCTATTAAGCTATAATCTCCCTTTCAGCTTCAAGAGAGAGAGTTTTAAAAAGCAAACTTAGCTGAAACAAACCTGCTCACATCTTTCTTCAATTAGTTTCTTGTCACCACCTCCGTGAAGAATGATTGTGTCATCAAGAGAGACAGTAACCTAAGCAGCAGTTAACAATGTGCATGAAGCAAACATTAAACAAAAAAACAATGGGTAAAAAAAAGAACGCCATAATGAACTGGGCGTGAACCTTTTTTGCAGTACCAAGCATCTCTACTTGCACTTTGTCAAGAGTTAAACCACGTTCATCGGTGATTACCTGTTGTTCAGTTTAAATGTAATTAAACTATCATACAAAATGTTGAGACAATGAACTAAGATTAGAGCACTTCGTATCACCTCTCCTCCCGTCAGAATAGCAAGATCATCCAAATTTGCTTTTCTGTTGTCCCCAAAACCAGGAGCTTTGATGGCACAAACCTGAAAGAAGAAGTTTTCTAAGGAGGTATTTGAACTATAATGTTGTGTTATTGATGATAGGACCACAATCTATGATAAATATGATAAATATTCTGCAAGGGACCACAATCCATTAATTCATTCACGAAGATCTTTTTGAAACTCACTCAAGAAAGCAAGTCATTAGAGACATTTTGCAGTTGACAGAAGCACGCTAGCCAACATTAAGGTATTTTCTCGGATTTCATTAGTAATAAGCCATTTGAGTTAACAATATAAGTCACAAGCAACCTGGGATGTATACAGCTTTAGAATGGAAAGGATTTTAAACCTTTTTTTTGAGATAGCTTTCACAAGGAGAGTTGACGATAACCAAAAGAATATTCACAATTATATCTACTACTATGTCTACTTAAATTGCTCAATTTTTTTGGAAAGAAACTTAATCTTTCATTGCACTTACATCAGCATGCACGTTCATCCAATAGTAAAAAAAAAAGGTAAAGATAAGTTAGAATGCCACGTTGCTTTGACTTTTTTTTTTTTTAATAGGACACTACTTTAAAAAGAAATAAACCATATAACAAGCAATCACCTTCAGGCCAGCATGATGCTTGTTAAGTATTAGCATGGCAAGTGCATCACTCTCAACATCCTCAGCTACAACCAGAAGTGACCTCTTCTTCTGCTCAGAGAAAGAACTTATCATATTTAGGCTCAGGCATATTATTCACCCAACATTGCACATGAAAAAAAAAAAGGTAAAAAGTAAATTAAACTGGTACCTCTACTGCAAGTTCAAGTACTCTGAGGATTAAATTCATATCTGAAATCTTCTTTTCATGTATGAGGATGAGAGGGTTTTCTAGGTCCTGCACATTTAGATGCATTATAGTTCTATATTAAATTTTTAATACAAGAGATAACTTTGAAAACTTACGTGCAACACACTGCAATATTGGCACAAGGTCACACACAGACATATGAAGTTTACAAAGGAGCACATATGCAACAAGGTACTTTATGATATTTTCTCATATTCAGGCATCAGCAAGCATCAGTCATATTATTAGAGCACTAAACACCTAAAGGTTTTAACTATGACAAAAGGAATCCAAACTTACACACTTCTGGGTCTTTTGATCGTTAATAAAATAAGGAGAAATAAAACCCCTGCCTAGCTTCATTCCTTCCACCACTTCCAGTTCATCCTCCAGAGTATTTCCATCCTGCAGAGATATAGAAGTTAGTATACTCGAGTATTCATAAGTTCAATTATCATATTATACAAAAGCAAGTGGGGAAAGAATGCTCACAGAAACAGTAATCACTCCTTCCCTTCCAACTTTCTCCATTGCCCTTGCTATCAATTCTCCAATCTCACGTTCACCATTTGCGGAAATAGTGGCAACCTGCTCATAAATAACAAATGACCAAATGGAAAAAAAAAAAAAAAAAGGTAAGAAAAAGTAGAAAAGATAGTATCAAATCTAGGATAAAAAAGAAGAATAACAAATAATAAGCAGAAATAAATAAATAATATTTTATATCTATAGAAAAAAACTGTTGATCCAGATGAAAAATTTACGTTTATTATTACAGCCAAAAGAAAAAATGTGACAACTGCTCTAGGATCAATACACTCATGCTTAAAAACTCAAGAAAGAATACAAATAAGGAGGTCCTAAATCCAAAATGAATACTTCAGATGTGAGTACTAAAAAATGTATAAAGCACTATTCCAATTTAAAAGACAACAATTACAAACTATTAAGATCTAAATACAAGCTAGTCGTTAAATCTAAGGAATCCAACTTCAAACATTAGAAAGCAGCTTTCCTCTTGAACCCTGTTACCTGAGTAATTTCTTCTGGGGTACTTATCATCAATGCTCTGCTTTTCAACTCAGAGATAACAGCATCAACTGCTGTTTTGATACCAATGCGTAAATCCATCACACTAACACCTGCAGCTATTGACTTGCAACCTTCGGTGAGAATGGCCTGAGTCAGAACAGTTGCACAAGTTGTACCTACAACAAGATACGCAATTCATTCAAGAACGATCAACATGCTTGTCCAAGTTCAAAAGTAGTGCTCCAAGTTCAAGATATGCTATGCAACTCTAAGAGTCTATATGGCTAAATCTTGACAACTGAACAAACAACACAGCCCAACACACCATCAAAACGGCAAGCAAACATGCATGATTTCTAAAAATAATGAGTATATAAGAAGCAAGCACATAACTGAGTGGTGAAAATGTTACGACCCAAGTCCCATCTATGATCATAAGTTCAATTTAAATATTTTATTGAAGAAAGCACAGTGATACTTCTTTATTTGTTTGATTTCAATCCAAATGCAAAATGCCAATGTCCTGATCTCAATACAGCTTGAACTTCTCAACATTGATAATCTTAGTAATAAAAAGATAATATATATAAATATAAAGGAAATTCAGATTAAATGAAGAAAATACCATCTCCAGCGGCAGTGTTTGTGGCACTCGCAACTTGCTTTACTAGATCTGCCCCAACATTTTTAGCCTTGTCCTTGAATTGGATACTTTTGGCTACAGTAATGCCATCCTTTGTGACTTTCGGGCTGCCGTGACTTTTATCAATAATTACGTTGCGACCCTAATTTCATTAACCACAATGAGAAAGAAGCAAGAACTATTAATTACTTACAGTCCCCATTTAAGTTTGAATAGCCGTCTAAGAATGTGTAAACATCAGAATGAAAACTGCAGGAGTTCTTTCCACCATTACAAATTTCGACATTCCAACCAAGTGAACTATCAGAAAAACCGCCAAAGTCAAATGACCAGTCAGGTCCAATACCTTTGGTCCCATTGTCACTTTAACCGCTTCAGCAATCTCTGAGACACCTTGGAGCATAGCGGCACGAGCCCCATTCCCAAAATTGATATCCTTCGCCGCATAACTTCTGCTGCTCGTTACCCTGCTACATACCTTCAAATCCAAAGCAAACCAAATTTAGTTTAAGAAAATCAATCCATATCACTCCGTACTCATCAAAACCAAAAACAAGAATCAAAATCCGCAGCTGTTCTAATTGAACAACCCAAACCGATCAGCTTCAATGACCATATCTCAAGTTTAATACATCATTCACGAAAAATATTACAACCACGTTCATTTCTTTACATTACAAGAAATGCGCGCGCAAATCAAAATACAGTCCTCAAACATTTAAATAAAAAGAGGGAAAATTCAAAGCTAGCTGAACTTGGCTAAATCAACATACTGCAATAGACAAAAAAGTGAATTTCATTATCCAGTTCATCCTCAGTGTAACAAATTCAGCAATCAGCACCTGAATACTATGAAAGATTCAAACGTGGACAAATGCAACGAATAATAGATCTTAATTCTTCTTACGAGTTTTCTCGACGTTGAGGAAGCTAATTTGGAAACTACTCGATACATCGCCGGGAATGGCCACAGAGTCCAGATAGAGAGTGAGAGAGACGCCTTCCCTTTCCGCTTTCGGCTTCTGAGGGTTTAAGCAGAGGTTTTGAAGAAAAAGTCAATGGTACGGTAATGAGTATGCTAATTAGACGGTTCAGATTCACGCTCATTTTAAAATAACCGTAGAGGATTAAGTCCGCTCGAATCAGAGCCCAATATTGAGGCCCATATTTTTTGGCAATCAAAATGGGCCTGTTGGCCTGAAGTTGGGGAGCCTACATACTAAAAGCCCATGAAAAATATTCTCTTTGATTATAAATATAATTTTTTAAATAATTAAGTTTATAAAGTGAATGTAAATAAAATACATACTCTCAAAAAAAAAAAAAATTGTAAATATGTGGTTTTTTTTTCAAACTTAATTAACTATATTCATAATATAATATACTTGTAAATAACCGGCGGAGGCGAGAAAATTCAAACTTTTAACCTTTTAATCGAATGTAAATATTTAAAATTATATTAAAATTGGTTCGTAGTTATAATTATTAATATGGGTGCGACTCAATGACCTAAAATACTCGATCAACTTAATACAATTATGTATACGTATATTTATTTTATTTTCATGTAATTTCATAATTACTTTTTTATTTTTTATTTTCCAACTCGTCTCTAATATAAATACTATTTGAAAGGTATTTTTTTTAACTAAATGTTTGAAAATAAATAAATAGATGTGTTATTATTTTGATTAAATTAATTATTTAATAAAAGTTATTTAGGTCGGAAAAAAATTATAAAAGATATATTTGATTAAATGTTGAAGTATTTTTATTTACAAAAATACAATAACCATTATTAATCAATTAAAAAAAAGAAATTAAAAGTCAAAAATTGAAATTAACAAACAAATAAGCNAAAAAAAAAAAAAAAAAAAAAAAAAAAAAGGAAAAAGAAAAGAAAAAAATTAATATAAAAACAAGAAACTTAAAATTCCCTCTTTTCACCATCGTCTCAAAATTCAAACAATCCATTTCCAGATTTTCACTCTGAAGTCCACCTTACACTCTGCATTATCCACCGCCGCAGGAACCGCCGTCTTCTTCTTCGCCGTCGGAACGCCCGCCGTAATTCCGTCGCAAAGAATTTTAAGTCCAACCTTCGGCATTTTCAACCATCCCATTTTCACCTTCACTTTCGTCTCCACCTTAATCTCCAACGGCAATCCGGCTTTGCTCTTAATCGCAGCCTTCAACGAATCGACTGGCTCGCCTTCGATCTCTCCGCCACCACTTATCGCTGTCACCTTCATCGCCGTGATGTTTCTCTTCTCGTGCACGAACTCAGGGAACGATCCGTCGCCGAGATCGATGCCGTTCGACGAGATGGCGACGGAAATTGGACTGTAAATGAACTTGACTTTCTTGTTAGGGTTTGTAGCGGCGAGATTTAGGTCGAATTTGGAATTGAGTTGAGAATTAGGCGTAAATTTGAAGGAATCGATTTTGAGAGCCGTAACAGAGAAGGACGGGCGGTGTGGACGGTAAATTAGGTATACGACGGTGGAGGCAACGGCGATGAGGACGATTACGGTGACGATGATCGCTGTCAACCAGACGCAGATTGAGCAACAAGTGGAACGGCGGCGATTATGAGGCTGAGGACGGAAGGTGGGACGGGAAGCGCCGTAGAGTTGGGATTTGGTGGATGGGAAGGGTGGCGCGTTGGCCGTCGGGTTAATATTGTCGTCGGAATTGGAATTGGCATTGGCACTGGCTTTTTTACCGGCGGCGTTCGGGTGGACTCTATCCGCCATGGCCGTAGCAGAGGAAGCGGAGAAGAAAGTGTCAAAAGGGTAAGAGAAGAAAGGGAAAATGAGTATTGAATTTGGAAATCGAAAGGGATTTTTAAGATGATGAATGCTTTGGTTTCAAGGAAGAACTTCCCTTTCTTTTTCTTTTTCTTTTCTTTAATAAAAAATAAATATATAAATATAAAAAATAGAGAAAAAACTTTAATATCAATTAACCGATGTGGAACTTTGAGCATAAGCTCTCATGGCTTTGCTTTGGGCTTCCCAAAAGGCCTCATACCAATGAAGAGTGTATTCTTAGATTATAAACCCATGACCATTCCCTAAATTAACCGATGTGGGACTTTCATCATTCAACAATTTTTATATTTATAATTAATGTTTTCGTAATAATTAGAAGTATTTATTGTTTTTTAGGAACATACATTTTTAGCTCAGCAGAGGTTTGAGGTATGTTTTTTTAAAACTAATTTTGGTAATATTTTGTGATAATTACTTCAATTAATTATATTTATTTAGTATATTTATTACTTAATCACTAATTAGAGCCAAATATATATATATATATATATATATATATATATATTATATTTAATGGAAATCAAAATATTATAAAAATTGTCGAAAATAATAAGGTTTAAGGGGATGGGATGGGGTAGGTGCGAGAGGAAGGACAGGAAGGTGAAACAATGGAATCAAAGACCAGGACTTTACAACAATTCTCACGCCCTTCTTAAGCGCGTGGAACTCACTTGTTTTTTTTTTTTTTTTTTTGGCCAACTTATGAATTTATGTTCTCTAAAATTGAGTATAGTTTATGTGATTGAGACATGTGAATGTAAGAATAAATTAATAAAAATATCGTTCAACTTAAAAAAATATATTAATTTTAAATTTTTTAATAATACTTTAAATTAAATAAAAAAATTTAATACTCTATTTTAAACATTAAATTTTTTCTTAAAAAAATTAATAAAAGGTAAAAGATGTTAATTGTAATGACTCGAAATTTTCTATTTAATTTATGGTCTCTACCGTATACACATCCTAAACGTTGAATGTGGAAGACTTTATTTAAATTTCATAAAACATATTCTTTATTTTAAATCACTGGACTTGCGTGTTTCGAAAACATCTGTAAAACGACACAATAAAAGACTTGAAATAAAATAAATAAGCGTTTAAGTTAAAAACATCTCATTCTAGCAAGTCTAAGAAAATAAACAACACTATCCTATGCATGTGTCATTGTCTTGAGTTGCGATGTCGTAGTTAGCCGTATAGGAATGTCTTGCCTTAACTTGAAAAATGTAGTAGCACATGGGTTGAGTATTTAAAGAAATAATCAGTGAGTAAACCCACTATTGGGGTTAAATGCAAGAACATGCGAATGCAATGACGAGACCTATCTTTCAATCTGTCTTCCTACGGTGTTGTTCTAATGGGTAATTTTGGACGTGTACCAAATACTCTACACACAACCCATACGTGCGCGTATGGGCTGATCACTTGTCGGGCGAGCATACATTGAGATGCTCCCTAGGCCGGACACCCGTTAGAACTAGTAACTGTCACAACAGCGCTATGCAAAATATTAACGATCGTTGTCCTACCCTTGGATGTACGCGTCCATACCCTCACGATGGAATATGGGTATCTCCCAATGCATGAACACTCATAATGCATGAGGTCTCCATATTTCTACTTTTATCATTAATGAATATAACCCCGCTATCATCTTTCATGCTGTCATTTCTCATTTTTCAGTCTACGTATCATACATAATCCTAACGGGGTTACATTTCATTTCATTTATCGTGATATCATGTCATACATAACATAACGCTCCATGCTTTTAAAATGTCATTTCAGAACGTGCAATTCATATAACAATTACCTCAATGGTTACACAAAACAATCTAAACATAACATATCACATCACAATATATTGTGTCATAAACATGTCATATCGTAAACACTTCGTGATCATATCGTTTCCTAACATATCACAGCCTTAACATTCTTATACTTATCACAGACATGTTCACGTACATATCGTTACAATGAACGTACCTTAGTCATATCATCACAAGAATGTATCCTAACGCTATCGTTCTATCAATCTATCACAAACCTATTCCTTTCTACCCATATCCTAACCATATTTTTTCATCAATCTCTCCTATCCATAGCACTCCGGTATGTAACCTGACCTTAACGTTTCATGAACGTATCTTACTCCTACAGTTACATTTCGTTTTGTGCATCCCTCTCGTAATTTATCTCAAACCTATCATTGGACACATCGTACCACAATTAGTATCATACAATTCAAATATTATATCATTACATAAACACAATATAAGCATCCCGATTCACGGACAATTCACACATATCAGTATATATGACACGTGTAGAACCACAGACACATGTCAACATCAAATATAACCTTACCGATAGTAATGTCACTTACTTGGTTAGCTTAAGTCGTTGTTATCTCTAATGAAAGTTCGATTCCTCCATTTGAAATCCAAGTCAACCTATGTGAGTCCATGACATCAGTTTCAAGTTTGAACTCTATAAAATTATTTTCCTAATCTACCTTGTCCATTGTTAAAAGTCTTGAGATGTTATATATATATATATATATATATAATGCTATTTTTCAAGTATATTTTTTTGTAACACTATTAAAAATTTAAGTATATTTTTTTAAACGAAATATAATGATATTTTTTTATTTTTTAATATTTTAAAAATTTATGAATAGTTTTTAGACCGAAAACGAAGATATTTTTATTAGATTTGTGGCGTGAATTCAACGCGCGAAGAGGCGGGTAGAATTTTGCTTTATCTCTACCTTCTCTGACTGCTATCTTCCTCTTGTTGTTTGGTGGCAGCAACCATCCGCACGTGTGAATCTAACCTCCAGTATGAAGCTAGATCCCTAAGCTTCCCATCCTACGTGCCATAATCCTCTACAACCAGTCCCAAACAATAGGAGACTGCAGTCTTCAATCATCACCCTTCAATTATAATCCTACGGCTATATCACATCCCACAAAACTACACCCACATTGATCTTCAATTTTGATTCAATTTCAAATATTAGCTTTGCATTATTAAATAATGATTCAAACATAATCACATTTTTAAATTTATTTTTGTGTTAAAAGACTTATTTAAAATATTGTAAATGAGTTTCTAAATTACACATAAAATTGGAATCATTTTAATTTCTAATTTTAAAAACTATTGAATATGACTCAAAATAAAAAAAAAAAATATTTATTTTTACGCTTCTTTATTTATTACGGTAATAATTCGTTAATCCCGTTAATTTTGGTAAATAATAAATCATGGTGACATGAGAGATTTTTATTATGTGTTAATTTAGTTACGGTAAAAAATGTTTATTAAATTTTAACGGTACTTATATGTAAAAAGACTATAATTTATATTCATTCTTCAACAATTTATGATTTACAGCGAACCTTTTAACATGATCGAGCATAGATAAAATTTTGACTATCTATCAGAGAAAAAAACGAATGGATCTTTTAAGATTCCTGAAAAAAAATCATTTCTTTTTTAATGGGATAATTATTCATCTGTTTCTCATGTTTTTTGAATAGTCGAGACACGAAAAATATCTGAAAAAGTATTTTGGAAATCGATTTGATTCGATCTTTTTTTTACCATAAATGATGACCAATCACGAGCATCATTTACTATGGTTTGGCACACAGATTATAAATAATAAAGTAGCAATAATTAAATTTACATATAAGGTAATAAGTGCACTATTTAATGTTCAATAATTGTTTTCAATTTTGAACGATTCTTATTTCAACTAACAATAAAGAACGTCCAAAATTACTCAGCCAGTCACTCAAAATAAATTTACAATTAAAAAATATATATTAATTAATATTATTCTTATATTATTGAAATAATCAGAATTGTAAAAATTTATAAATAAATCAATTTAAATCTAAATAAGAAATTTACTTTAAAATTATAATATTTATTTAGATGTAAGGAATAAGAAAAATATTGAATTAAATAAATTGTAGCAGTGCTTTCTTATTTTTATATTTCAATATTTATTTAAGAAAAATAACTTGAAATTTTGAGAAAATAATATTTTTATTTAAGAGTGATTTTAAAAATATTTAGATGAAAATAGTATAATATATTATTATATTATTTTCTTCGCCTCCATAATTAAATGTAATTAATTTAGAATTGTCATTTTTTCTCGTGTTTAATTTATATTTTTTCATTTAAAAATATTTTTTAAAATCTTTTATTTACAAATTATTGGATTATTTAATCTTACAGCTAAAAAATAAAAATAAAAAGAAACATTCGAGTATGAAATTAAATTGATGGAGAACGTAGTATAATTATTGAGATTAAAAATCGTCGGTCGTGGAATAAATGATATGGGAACTAACTACGGTCACCGACGAAATGTAAAAGGGTACACGTGTCGGGATGTTAATGGGTTGTGTTGTGGGGAGGGAGACAGCCGGATGAATAAATTATATTTGAAAGAGAAGGTGGTGTCAGAGGCTTGGTTACAAATAAACTACCAAATCTTGAGGGCCGTCATGACGTGGGTACGTTATGGCGCCATTCCTTTATGCTCCATAGATTATCTTTAAGTCATTTTTTTTTTTTTTTTAAATAATCATTCGAAGATTTTTCAAATCGACAATAAATGAGTGTTTTTTTAAGCTTAAACACGATCGAAGAGAGAGTACGAGCCCTAATCCTTAATTTAATTTAGAAGCGAATCAAATATCTGTACGATATAGATCATACAAAATCTGTTTTGTTACATGACAACAGTCATATTATAAAAAAATGAGACTGGAAGCTCTTTGTCTATTAATAACACGAGGGTTGGGGACTGAGATGAGGAGAATGTTGTAGAGGCTCGAAGAGGGGCTTACTACTGCTATCGAGACTATTATACCATGTAGCTTTCTTTAGTATTGTGTCGATCTATTGTAGCTCGATCGTGCCGTTAAAAAACAATTAGAATATTTATGTGTTCACTGTTAAGAATTAG